AATACTTCAATGTTCCTAATCATACATCAAATGCTTGATCTGAGCTCATTTGAGCTTGGATTGAATCGCTTTAAGTAATGTTAGGTTCGTGTTGTTGAGATCTTCAATTTAGTTGCAAATTTGCTAAAGTATGAGACTGAATGATCTCGATTTTAACTCGAAAATTTTTTTATCCAACATGGGACGAGGTTCTTGCATGATAGTGTAGATTAACAAGTGACATATCAAAATTGAAACACACTTTCTTAATGATTAGATAGAATTATAGGATGGTTACATACATACCACTCATTCTTAGTGTATTTCATATCTAACACTAAAAAAATTTAATGTTGCATACATACCACCCAATTCTTCTTAATTCATCAATCCCACTGCTCTTTACTTTTGCCTTTAATGTAGAATGTTGAAGCACGTGGCAGCGGGAGGAGAAAGGTTGAAAGAGGAGAAAGGAGCATCAGAGTTATTTGTGTGTCAACGATTCTGTGTGACCAGAGGAGGAGAAATATGAAAAATTTTTTGTACGCCGCTGTTGCTCGAATATTGAGACAATCTAACTACTCAGATCAAAGGCCAGTATTCGTAAGATCGACTGGCTAAAGAACTGAAAGCTGACTGATAACCAAGCGACCACAGTTCTAAATTGCCCGACCAAGAGCAGACAATCTCTAATGACCAAACAAATGTCAAGTACCCCTAACAATCTCACAAGTATCAACATAATGCTCTCAAACAACTTTTCAAGAAAAAATCTCCAAAAATCACTGGTAAATATTGAGTCAAGCAAGTCGGTCAACCACCCTAAAGTCAGTCAACTACCACTTTAAAGGCTGATTGACTTCGTAGAGCGAAGGCCGACTGGTATTTATATGAAATAGCTGACCGACACCAACTTGATCGGCCAACCCGAGGACCTGCCAACCTGAATGTCCAGTTTATACAAAAAGATGCCAGAATAAATTATAATAATGAAAAGACACAACAAAAGCCAATAATGTCACTTAACCTTCCGATTAAAGCATGGGCATATATGTAATTTTTTTTTTGTTTATGATCTCCTTTCTTCTATAAATAGGGGCTTGTTACATGTAAAAAGGGTCTTCGATTCTTCTCTCTAAACTCATACTTTGTAAGGAGATCTCTCTCATCTTCTCTTTTATAACTCTTCAGTTATAAGATATAAAATGGGTCACAGAGCTTGAGAATACCCAGTTCACCCTTACAAGGCAAGTTCATGTGTGTTATTTTATTTCTTTTTCCCTCTTTCTATTTCTCCTTACAGGTTTCTACCGCTCTGATTTCTTAGGCATGCCTAACAGAATAAATATGGATGCACCATCCTAAAAGATGCGATGAGCACAGAGCATTAAAACAACGAGAAGGGAAATGACATGCTAATAAGGAGAAATGGATCTCAAAGACTTTTTCAAGGAGCATGATAGGGAGTTCATGTATATATGGCCTAAAAACATCATTTCTGTTGTCTTCCTAGAGGCTTTGGCTAAGATTTGAGTATCTATAAATGGATGTCTGACCCCCTTATTAGCGTATTACTCGGCCTGTTGCGGGCGGCGACACTATGTTCTAATATTATGATAAATTTCTTTTACGAATTCCCAAGTCCAATTGACACTTGGAGAATTTGGATCCAAAAAACTGCCCGACCAATGAACCAAAGAGGTCTGGCTTGTTGAATGTTCCCCAACTCTCCCTTGATTAAAAATTCTCGGTCTCTGGGCTCGAATCGAATAAAACCCAGGAGATGATTCCCTACGAAGTAGCTACAAGTTTCATGAAGGGTAAGATGCAAATCACCCAAACAGCGAGTCTCAGCAAGTACCCTCATGGAGGTAATAACGAGATTCGCCTAAAACCCTATAAAATGTGAGATCCGACAAGGTGTTGATCATGGTGAGTAATTTAGACCTTGATAAGTACAAGCAAAAACTGAATGATTTGTGACAAAAAGTGAAGGGAACAAACAACAATGCTACAGACGTCCAATCAATGTCCCAAAAACAGAATCAACCCACAATGCTAATCATTAAAAAAGTTGTCTCAGAGCTTAACATCGATTTCACCTAGAGGAGGTTCTCTCCCCATCAGCGAGTCTTGATTGTTACCCCCGTGAAAACAGTGACATGATCCATTTAAGTCCTAATGAAAGGTGTGAGTTGACCTAGGGACAATTTTGACTAAAATAAAATGAGACATGCAGTGTAAGACTTGTGCCGAATTGCAAAAACTCAAAACGATATGATCTTTCATATGTTTGAATTATTCAACGAATACATACTCATTACCAAATAATTTTCACAAAGAAATACCAAAGATAAAAGTTGAAGGTATGAAAAGTGACTGAATGATCTCATTCCATTACAAAAATAAATATACAAAATTTTCATTTTTAAAATACATTCTTGTTAGATTGTGTGCTAGGCTAAGACTAGGGTGTTGGGTAGTATTTTCAATGCTCTAACTATTGTTATTTACTGGTTTGATTGCTCTAGATAAACATCACTTTTGTGTCTTTTTGGTGTGCTAGAATGTTTGATATGCATGATAGCATATTAGAACATTATTCTACAGGTAGTCGTGTCTATATATATGCATACACAAGAGTGCCATTAAGGAGGAGCATGTGATGATTTCTACTAACATTTTGCTTGTAGGTGACATTTAGTTTCCTCAATAAGAAGACACGACTCATTATATGTTACATGTCTGTTGACTTTCCCACTAACATTGTTTTCATGCAAGTCGAGTCATTTTTTTCTCTTTTTCATCAATACTTTTAAAGTCTTAGGATAGTCTTGTATTAGAAATAAGGTATGAACATGCGTTTCGGGGTGCCATGCGAATAGAACCATGTGACGGGAACTAGAATCAGTAGACTCGTGTCCTGTACTTTAATTCTAAATATCATTTATGTATAGAATTAGAACCTGACATGTACTTATACGGTGCCTGACTGCATTTTGTTGGGATATATTTTCAACCCAATGACACCAATCTTTCATTATTTTTGGCTTGTTTACTATCTTTCTTGCATGTTTGCATGCTTAAAATATTTTCTCTTATTTATTTCTCCTTAATATGGGATGCTAAAAAAATTATGACTAGGCTTATTAAGAACATTAAAATTATATTTTTTTACTCAATATCCTAATAATAAAAGATTAAGATGATCAAATTTTAACATATCATAGCTCTCACCTAAGTCATCCAAATAGGCCACCACATTATAACTTGAATAGATAACTGCATCAATCTGCATGCCCCGAGGAGAAGCCCCCGCACTTTAATGCTCCCCAAATATATATTCAGACCTAGGTGGTTATCTATTGCGCTTAGGTCCTTAAAATGCTCCCCGACTGATACGAGGTGTAAGTTCTTTTGTCGAGAGTGTTCCCAACTTTGTAGTTGAACTC